GAAGAAGAAGAAGAAGAAGAAGAAGAAGAGGAGGAGGAGGAGGAGGAGGAGGAGGAAGAGGAGGAGGAAAAGGAGGAGGAGGAGGAAGAGGAGGAGGAGGAGGAGGAGAGGAGAGACACTTTTGTGACTCTTCCTAAGGTCACTAATTCTATCAGATCCAGGTTGCACCTTTATGAACTCGTTTAACCGTAACTATTTCCTAGAGGCCCCATTTCCAATTACAGTCACACTTAGAGGTTAAGACCTCAAAATGTTAAATTGAGGAGACACAAACATTCAGTCTGTAACAATAAGCATTTGAACAGTAAAATTTTGACATATTTATAGAGATTATTGTTCCCTCAACCTCAGTCTTCTCTCAATTTAGCTTCTCCTCATTACCATAGCAACCCCTGCAGTACAATAAGCAGTAGGCTATTAGAAGAGATGAGTAAAATGGAGCAGAGAAAAACAACACTCTTTAAAGGAAGATAATTAAATCCAGACAAATAACAATGTAGCTGATATGGTTTGGATCTAGAACTATTCCCCAAAAAATTCATGTGTTGGAATATTCAGATGACTATATTATGAGTGCTGCAGCCTTATCTGTGAATTAATCCACTTGATGGATTAATAATTTGAATGGACTACTGAGTGGTAACTGAAGGGAGGTGAGACATGGCTGGAGGAAGTAGGTTACTGGGGGCGTGCCCTTGGATTGTATCTTATTCCTGGATTCTCACACTCTATCTTGCTCTGCTTCCTGTCGCCAACAGCTGAGCAGCATTCCTTTACCATGCCCTTGCACCATGATGCTCTGCCTGATGGAGTCAGCTAACCATGGACTGAACTTCGGAAACCATGGGCCCAAAGTAAACTTTTCATCCTCTAAGTTTTCCCTTCATGTATTTTGGTCACTGTGACAGAAACCTGATAAACACACTATCCAGTATCCATCAGATTACTAGGCATGTTGCATTGACTTCTGATGCCAAATATACTTTTCCTCTAAAATTGTTCTAGTCAGGTCTTTTAGACACAGCAGTGAAAAAGTGGACTAAAACACTCTGTATCATTAGTATGTATTAATACAAAATAAATAAAGGTAGAAACTTAAGGTAAAAAACATGTTTTGATGCATGAAATTGCTAAGAGAAAAATAGGACATCTCAATAGAGATAATAGAAACAATTTTTAAAATATAAAACATCTAGAACCCAAAACTGCAGTTTCTAAAATTAAATATTAGGAATTACACATAACTGCTGAACGAAGACAATGGAAAGTACATTGAACTTGAAGATGATTGTTAGAAAAAAGATGAAGTCAAACTGCCAAAAGTATATGAATTGGAATTAAGTAGGAAAAAGGAGACATTAAAAGATTGCAAAGAATTGCTTAAATATTCCTGGGGTTGATAAAAGGCCAATGTTTACAAATTGAAAGGTTTGTATTGAGCCAAAAGGGAAAAAATGCAAAAAAAAAAAATTCTACACTGAGGCATAACGTATTTAATTATCAAGGCTATAAACAAACAGCAAATCTTAAAATCAGGTACAGGAAATCAACACACTTTCTATGGAGAACAACAATCTGATTGATAGCTAACTTCTCATGAGATTACAAGCAACCCAGAAAAGAGCACAATAACACCTTCAGAAAGACTAAAATTTTAAAAAGGCAACCCCAAATTCCACCTATATCCAACAAAAAATGTCCAGACATAAAGGCAAAATAGGAATATTTTCAGATTTAAAAAAAATCTCAGGACTCATAATTACTGAATAATACACTGTAAAGAAAGATTTCTCACTAAAAAACAAAAATATCTGATGAAAATAGGTCTTTTCTACACAAAAAAAAGGAGAGTGTCAGAAATGGACATTTGGGTCAATGTAAAAAAAAAATTTTTAAAGCATTTTTTTAATCCTTTTAGTCTATATGCTATGTACTAAATATTTATGCCCCACAAAGATTACATGGTAAAGTATCGACCTGCAATGTCATGGTATTAACAAGTGGG